TTTTTTTTTCTCACAGAATTTGAATTTGCAAGGAAACAAAATCTGATTGATTTTTTTTTTTTAATTACTGGGAGAGATAAATGCAAATAATAGGCAAAGGTAGTTAGTGTCAAGAGGCTGATTACTAGTAAATATTTTTGTGTGTAAATGGGGCAGAAGGTGACCCAACCAACGCTCTTAACTCCGGTGAGGGAGTCTCTGCCCACCAGGTGTGTATGGTGTCAGGCTGGCCCTTCCCCTGCTTTGGCTCGGGGGCTGGTGGAGAAACGCTGCGCTCAGAGCTGGGCTCGGTGTTCATGTTGATGGCCGACGAGCAAGTGACCAGCCCATTTTTGCTTTGTGGCTTTACTTCCACTTCAGGGAGTGATCTTATCCCTCAGACAGGAAGGCCCAGTTCAGCTTGGTTGGGAGGGCTCATCCAGTTCCTGTATTTTCTGCCTTCTGCTTTCCACCCTCAGGCTGAAACAGAGCAGCTCAAGGGTTGGAGTCCAGTGCCCGCACAGAAACGTAAAATTCCCCGGTAAAGTCCCTGTCAAGTGGAGACTGTCATTCTACAAGTACAGTTTGATCAGCCTTCTTAAGCTGTTAATTATTAAACAAAATCAATATTTGTTAGTTTAATTTTTACTCTTTTCAGTTAGAAAAACTGAAGGTCATTTATTCAAAGACAAAAAAATAAAACAAATATAAGATAACCAATTAAAACCCCCTGAGAAATCCCAGTGTGTGCTCTGGGTGACCCCCCGGGAAGTGGGGGTTGCAGACATGGCCCCTGAGGTGACAGAGGAGAGGTAACAGGGTTTCCAGTTCTTCTGGGCTCCTTTCCTTTCCTTGTAGGTTCTTAGTTGTTAGTACCACCAAGGTGCAAGGGTCAGCAAGGTTGGGAGAGGCCTGAGCCAGCTGACCCGAGGCCATGAAAGCTGTAATTGCCTCAGGTCACAGCCAGGCTAAGAAGGGGACACCTGTGTGACTCCAGTCAGATATATCGGTCAGAAGCCAGCAGTAGCCAGGCAATGGCCACCACCAGAACACTGGCCAAGGTTTAAAAAAATTAATGTCACAGAGACAGAAGCAATCAGAATTCCAAAACAGTGCTCAGAAGGTGTGCAGCCACGGTAAGAAAGAAAGATCTCTTATCCTTTGAGACGACATGGAGGGACCTGGAAAGTATTATCCTAAGTGAAAGAAGCCAAGCAGAAAAAGACAAATACCACATGATCTCACTTATATACGGAATATAATGAACATAACAGTCTGGGGAATACAATAGACCCAGACACATGGAAGTAGGGCACAGACTGACATCCCTCAGAAGAGGGGATGGGGGGTGGGGGGTGGGAAGAGATAAATCACAGAACTTATATGCATGTATGCATGACCAGTGGACATGGACAACTAAGCCGGGGACAGGGCGGAGGTGGGGTGGGGTGGGGGGTGCCAATGGGGTAAAAAGGTAAAATATCTGTAACAAAAAAATAAATTAAAAATTCATAAAAAAAAAAAAAAAAAAGAAGAAGAAGGTGTGCAGCCAAACAAGGAGTCCAGTGATGGTCCTCTTCATGGGGGAGGGGTGCCTGACTGTGCTTTCCTGAAAGGCAGGCGGCTGTCAGGGGACAGGCTGAGGACACTCAGACAAACAGCAGCACATGGCATAAAGGAGTGGGGTTTGTGTCTGTAGATGGATTCTGACACAATACAACCCACCTTGGCCTCCCCTCCAGGAAAGAGCCAAACTAGGAAAGCCCCTGTGACCTTTAATTTGTAGACCAACTGGTTTGGTTGTTTGAATTGTGTTATTGCCAAACCATGATTCTTGGCTTATGTTCCATGTCCTGGGGTAGACTTATAAAACTCAAATATACATGTGCAACAACGGGGGCTGCTCTCATGTCCTAATTTCTAATAGAAGTCCTTTGTTCTTAGTAATAATAATGGTCAGCGCTGGCCAGTTTGGCTCAGCGGTTACAGCATTGGCCCGAAGATGAAAGGGTCTCGGGTTTGATTCCTGGTCAAGGGCACCTACCTCAGTTGCAAGTTTGATACCCAGCCTGACTTGGGGTCATGTGGGAGGCAGCCAATTGATATGTGTCTTTCTCGCATCAATGTTTCTCTCTCTCACTCTCTCACTCCATCCACTCTATCTAAAATAAATAAATGGAAAAATGTCCTTTGGTGAGGATTAACAACAACAACAACAACAACATAATAATAATAGTCAGGGATATGGCAACTGCCTTTCATGGAGCACTTCTATGGGTTAGAGTGTTTGACACAACAGTTCTGAGATGTTGGAATTACAGATTCCATTTCACAAATAAGGAAAATGAGGCTTTGAGAGGTTAACTTGCCTAAGATAACCAGCCAGTAAGAGCCAAGATCCAACCTACATTGTCTGTACCCCAAATCCCATACTGGTAAGGACTACCCTGTGTGTGGCGGCGAGGAGAACGCACCTGGTAGACCTCTAGCTGTGGGGAGTGGAATTGACCAAGGGCCCCAGGCTGTGCTCTGAAACCATCACAGCATTTGACCAAAGCCACGTTTCCCCCACGCTGCTCCCATCTGCTGACTGAGCACAGCAGGGACTCTATAGCAGGCCAGCTCCTGGAAGACACGGCCTCCCTGTGGTCAGCTTCAGTCCCAGGATTCCCTGACAGATTTGCAGAACTTTGCTTAGGTGGCTCAGTGGTATAGGATCCTTCCACCCAGCCTTCCTTCCCCTTCCTCATTTGGACCCAGACCATCTGATGGGTCTCCCAGCCTCCCTCCTCATTTTCTGCCTCAGGCATTTTCCCTAATAAAGTCCTTGCTTGTTTAATCCTGTCTTAACGTTTGCTTCTCAGAAGACCTGGACTAACACAGTGCACCATGGCGAATTTTCAGGGCAGCCGAGTTTAGGCTGCTAGATTGAATTGGGAAGTTACTTTCCTGTTTCTCTCCAGATGCCACACTAAAAGCCTCAAGGCATGAAGCCTTGCTGTGGTCCTCCCTGTGTTGTATGTACTCCCTCCCCTGTTAGTCACTTAGGTGGTTGGTCTCATCTCATCCATCGATTCATCTATTCATGCAAGAAGCATTTATTGACTTCTCACTATGTCTTAGGCTCTGGGGATCCAAAGATGAATGTCAGGGAATCTGTCCTCAGAGAAATCACAGTCTGGTAGAAGAACAATTTGGTCAACAGATAAACAACACTAATTGCTAATGACTCTTCAGTGCTTCCTCCCTGTCCGGTGCTCTTTTAAGTGTTTTATAAGAATCAACTCATTTTATACTTACAACTATTATATGAGATAGGTGGTATTATTATGTCCATTTTCACATGGGGAGACCGATTCACTGGTGGCAGATGGAAAGTGACAGAATGGGGGTTTGAACGTAGGCAGAGCCCTTCAGCTTACTGTCCTGCTACACTGGCCCTTGCCAGAGTGCCTGTTCTAAGACAATTGGCCATGCCCAGGGAGTGCAGGTTTCCCCTGCAACCAAAACTCCGAGGCTAAAGTGGCTTGGTTCCCACTTTAAAAATCCTCACTGGCTGCCACAGAGAGAACAGTCTCACCAGGTCGTCTGATGGGCACAGAACGCCTGCTGTGTTGTGGAGAATCATAGCTCAGGCTCCCATAGGGAGGTGGCTAGATCTCAGCTGTTTCCTGTCTCCTTGGCTGCCTGGAGCATCCCTGGGCCACCTGATGCTCACTTCCTGGGCCACATTTGATTTCTAGCTTTGAACTATGGGATGCAGAGGTACACACCTGCCCCCTTCTACACAGAGAATTGTTTCGTAGGAGCTCTCCATTCGGTAAATGAATGATAAAAATAACACATACTTAACTGTGTCTAATACTTTTCAGTTTTCACAGGGCTTCTGTGTGTTTATCACTCCCAACAAGCTTGCCACAGGCCAGCTGGTATACATATTCTCATTTTAAAGAAGACAAAGCGAAACTTAGAAAAGCCATGGTTACCCAGTAAATGGTGGAGGTGGGACTTGAGTTCGTGCCTTCAGTGGCCTCGCTGACTGCACTGTCCCAGAACCCCTCAGTAGCTGCATTTCTGTTGCTAGGAAATATTTTACAATGTCTTCAGACCCTTGCCTTTAGTAGCTCAGGTTTTAATTACTGGGGACAACCAGCAGCCCAAGGTTAAAAGGGTTTTTATTTTGGCCCATAATTGTTTAAGCAACATTTGGAGTTTCATCATATTGTTTTAAATGTCTTTAAGTTGACCCAGGAGGATCACACCCCCACCCCAACTTGACCATACTGTGAAGCCAGACACAACCTCTCAGGGTGAGGGGTGAGAGAAAGTTACCCTCTCTGGAAATGGAAAGTGAAACTGACCAGTTCAATTTCACAGTTGCAGCTGGTTAGAATGCTAAGGGTCAGCAAAAGCAGGGACAAGAAAACACCCTCTCAGCCTTTCCTGGAAGTTTGAAGGGTGAGTGGTAGAAGGACAAAAGGAAGGGAGTTTTCACAGTTTCCTAAGCTCGGTTCTATTACCAAAAGTTGCCTTCGACCTCTCTCAGCCCTTGGTTGGGTGAAAATGAACCATATTTTCATGGCCTTCCCCAAACAAAGCCCATTTGTCTGTCCTGACACCAGTAAACCCAGACATCAGTGTCTGTTTAGATTGGAATTGATTCCTGAACCAGGAAACCAAGAAGAGGCTGTTTAAAGACTAGTTATTAATGGCCTCATTACAAGCCTGTGCCATGCCATTTGAACAAAATTTACATAGAGAGAGGAAGCACATTTAAGTGTCGGAAAGAGATGAAGAAAGAGGAAGCCTTCACTGGGGCTGTGGTATCCACAGCTTTATTAGCAACACTGGGGTTTCCTGAACAATGAAACAGGGGCCTGTGGGCCTCAAGCCCTGAGAGTCCAAGGGGAGTGCTTCCTCCCCAGTGGTGGCCTTTGGAATGCAGGTATGGACAGTGCTTCTTAAGGATCTTGACAAACTTGGCCAATGAAGCTGCACTTGGTTAGAGCCGTCCAGGAGACGCTGGGTCCAGGGAGGAGGCGGGTGTCTGTGGAACCCATTTCCACGGCGGGGCGGCAGATTTTCCCGCAATCCTTCCCAGATTCATCCCAGAGACTGGTTGAGGGAACCTGCGTCTGTGGCCAGGAAGCTGCCCGCCCAGGAGAATTATTTCTCCACTGGGGTCATATTTCCTGAGATCAGCTCTTGCTTCGGTCTGGGCCGGTTAGCAGATGGGAACCTTGACTTCTAAATGTGGTTCCATTATTGAGCAAGCAGGGTTCATCAGTTCACGTCCCGAGCCCCCGTTTTCCCTGTGAAATGGAGATAATCACGTCTGTCGCATGTGCCTGGGGACACTGAAAGGAACATGTGAGAACAAGTTAAAAAGTTCTGAGACACTGGGTGGTTCAAGAATGCCCAGTAACCCTTGGCTTCTTGGATGAAGATGGAGCAAATTGGCTTTGGTGTTCCAGGAAGTTTTCTGAAGGTTGAGCTTGGGAGAGGATGAGCGGCCCCAGCCATCGGCAGGTGGGAGGTGTGCAGGCAGATTCTATCATTGTTGGACAACCACACATCGGTTGTCATGGCAACCTCAGTGTGGGGCTATTTTTATTCAAGCTGAAAAGCAGGTAGGGTGAGTTGGGGAGGGGAAGGGAAGAACCATCACCCTTTGCTTTAAAACAAAACAAAACTAACACTTTGACTAGTTCATTTAGAGCAACTAGGTGGGGCTGGATAGAGGTCTAGAGGCCTGAGATCCGCTCTCCTCCTGCCTTGCTCCCTCAGCCTGAACTTTAAGTAATTACCTGGCGAATAAAGGAAATGTAGCTCCTTGTGTACATGAGCTGGAACAGACTGGGGTAGATTCCTGATCCAGAACCCTCCACCCAGCGCTGCAAACCCACCGGCGTGTAGTGCAGCTGGGCAGCCTCAGGAATCTGCAGCTGGCACGGGATGTCTGGATGGCAAGGCAGGTCGGATGTGACAGGTGAGCCAGCTTGTGTTGGGAAAGGAAGTTGGTGTGGCCTTGTGGGAGGATTAGATTCGGTTTTCCTTCTCCCTTCTACTCCTTTCTTCTTGTTTCCAGGGAGGCAGAGTGGCCACCATGAGTTTATCTAAAGCCTGAGTTGAGCATGTGTCGACAGGACTCTGCCTTACCTTTCTGGTAGCATGAGGAGGAGGAGGAGGATGAAGGTGATAAGGACATGATTGATATCACTTTAATGAATTCACACTAATGCCACTAAATAATCATTACTTTCTCCCTTCCCTGGCTTTAATGCCTGTAAGAATGTGGAGGGTAAGAGTCTGTCATTCTACTGACCTCTTAACATCATTCTGATTGATGACTGTATGTGACTTTGGGGGTAGCTGGTAACTTTCGGGTTGGACATTCTTGTCACTGTGTTGGGAGCTTTTTGAATGAAAGGGATTAGTTGGACAGGAAATTCAGTACCCATTAACCAAGGTGAGTGAACAAGGGGGAAGACAGACCCATGGGCGATGACTAAAATGAAAATGAAAAAGCAGCCTTGATGTTTGCCAGGAAGCTGGGCGAGGTGGGGGTTATGAAACTCAAGATCTGAGCCCCACCATGGCAAGCCTCTCACGTCCCCGCTCGGTCCCACATGTTTTTGCAGTGGAGCAAAAGCTCCTTCACTTGGATTCAAACACTTGGAATTTGGGGACAAGGCCAGGTCTGAGGTCTCCCTTTGTGCTTTCTAAGGACACGACAATAGCCATGACATAGATTTTCTTAGTCACTTGCTGGTATAAACAAGATATATGATAGGAGGAAAGCTTAATCTACTTCAGAATCATTTCTCTAAGCATTTTGCAAACCATGCTTGTGGTACGCTTTCAGACATCAGGTTAATTATAGCATCTTATTTGCTCATGAATTCAGATAGAGCAGGATGTTGGCTTGGTAACACTTTGTCAGCCACCAGCTTATGTTATTTTAGATATTTGAAGGCATTGCTTGCTCAGGGTAGGATGAGTGGTCAGCTGCTCCTCTTCTCGATTCTGACCCAGATTTACAAAGGAGCTGATGTATTCTGTTTGTGTGTCTAGAATTATTTCAAAAACAAGCAAAGAAAATTCTTCAACTTAAAAAAAAACCCCTACATTTTATATATAGGAATATATAAATATATATATTTAATCCTCACCTAAGGATATGTTTGTTTTTTTAACTTTAGAGAGAGAGGAAGGGAGAGAGAGAGGGAAGGAAAAGCATTGATGTGAGAGAGGAGCATCAGTTTGTTGCTTCCTATATGTGCCTTGACTGGGAGCTAAACCTGAAACCTAGGTATGTGCCCTGAACAGGAATCGAACCCACAACCTTTTGGTATATGAGACGATGCTCCAACCAATGGAACTACCCGGCCAGGGTTGATCTATATTTTATAGATTCTCCTTTTCTTATGAATACTCTTTGCCCACAAGTCTTCAATATTCAGTCCAACTCTTTGAGTGGTATTCAGGGTCCTCTCTGACACGGAGGTTCCTCTACCCTTTTTACTCTCCACCCCAATATAGAAGGTGCCCCCACTTTGCTTCCTGTACTGCAAGCGTATCATTTGCTCTCATGCCTTTGTGTCGTTAATCATACCTTTTACCTCTGCCAGCAAAGTCTTTCCAACCCCCACATCAGCATTCTCTACGCCTTTCAAGACCCTGCTTGTCACTTTGGGGATGTCTTTCCTTCGATTTTTCTGGTGGCCATAAACTGCATTTTATAAATTCCTGCTTATTTCCCATAATGTTTTGTTTTAAAGTTATTCCTCATCTTATTTGTTTCTGGAAGTTGTAAAGAAGCTATTTCTCTCTTGTGTGGTCCCCCAAAATTAGTAAGGACAAATTTTTTCACCCTAAACATTTCTTGGGGGGATCTAGGATAGGCCTTGAATACTTGTTATTCATTGATAGGAACACATATTTGTTGAGGGAATAAAGAAATGACTTATGAGTTATTTTATTATTTTAAATGGAAAATAGACCTTTTTCACAGAAGGGTAACCTCAGCACCCAAATGGTACTTGACCTAATCGAAGTAAGTTAACTTGTCTTCTTTATCCTTCAGGAAATCTTTCTTGATTTCTCAAAACGTACATGCCAACACTTTTCTAAACTCTTAGAAATGTAACATTTCACACATAGTGGTATTTATGGTCTCATCACACAGGTTAGTGCTTTTGGGGAAGGTATCACACAGTTGTCAGATTTTTTTTTTTTAACTTTATTTTTTACCTTTATTGATTTTTTAGAGAGAAAGGAAGTGAGAGGGAGAGAGATAGAAACATTGATGAGAGAGAACATCGATTGGCTGCCTCCTGCATGCCCCCCACTGGGGATTTGGCCCACAACCTGGGCATGTGCCCTGACCGGGAATCAAACTAGCGACCTCTTGGTGCCTGGGTCGACCCTCAACCACGGAGCCACATTGGCCAGACAGTTGTCAAGTTCTTTAAGTGGAGCCTCATCTTCCCAGTTCAGTCGTAAGCTCCCTAGAGGACACGCTCTTGGGATCCTCCAGGGGGTCGTGTCATACACATTTAGTAGACACTTGCTAGGTGATGAGGAAGCTCAGGCTTCAGCACATTTTACATCGGGCTTTGAGAAAGCGGTTTTACGATTTCATCCTTGTGGCTTAGGTAGATGGGTGAAAATCATAATAGGTGAGAAATTTTATCCTGTGTGGAGCAGCCTTCAGAGGTTTCTCAGACCTCAGGCAACTCTGTATTCCTGACCCTCTGTGCAGTGTTGAATCCTAGACCCAGGATGCAAATGAAGGGGGAACATGGCCCCTTTTTTTCGTGGGGTTGTTTGTCGAATCATTTCTGCATTCTGCCAAGAAATCATGAAACTTCTCTCTCTCATATCAGCCACTCTGGAAATTCAGGGCACAGATCATTCCAGCCCAGAGACATACATGTCCCTGTCTGTCTCCAATGATCATTTCTGTTTTATTCCATTTTGGGCTAGATTGGTGGAAAATTCTTGATTCTCAGTTGAAATTTATTTCCTTAATTTTCTTCTCTGCTCACTTTCTTTTTTCTTGGCATCCAAAACTCAGAGAAAAATAATTCAACATGTTTATGCTACAGGCTTTCTTCCCCCTTCCCACCTTCACTTTACCTTATTTTAAAAATCACTAATAAACAGCTTATTAAAATGGAACAGTGTAGTATAATTTGGTTTTTCTCAAACTGCGGTCATATGAGAATCATCAACACGGTTTAGATTTATTGTTTAAAACAGATTTATTGAAACATAATTTCTATGCCATGCAATTCACCCACTTAAAGTATACAAGTCAATGGATTTGGGGGGTATACATTATCAATTTTTTTAAATTGTGGCAAAATATATATAACATAATATTTGCCATTTTAACCAATTTTAGGTATACAACTCAGTAGCATTAATTACATTCACAATGTTGTGCTACCATCACCACTATTTCTAGAACTTTCCTATTGTACTATTTACAATATTTTCTTTATATTTATTTATTTTTTAAAATTAAATTAATTTTTATATTAATTAATTTTTGTTACAGATGTTTCTCCTTTTTCCCCCATTGACTCCCTCTTCCTGATCCAGCACCCCCCCCCCCCCAAACATTGTTGTCTATGTCCATTGGTTATAAGTTCTTTGCATATAAGTTCTTTGGTCCTGCGGCAGGACCAGTTATAATGTGGTTATCTGGATAATCTGGAAGATCTTTGCATTTACATCCCATTTTAAAGGCATTGTTATCTAAATGAAAAGCCCAGGCACGGGCTCTCATAAGGACTATATCTGAGGATTTTTGACCAATTTGAGAAACATTGGTTCACATCCTGCCTAGATCCCCAAAGTATTTGAAGCAGACTCTAATATTAAACACAGTATGGAAAAGAGAAATAGGCAAGACCAAAGACCTGAATGAGAGCATAGTAGCAGTTAAGAACCAAAACTGTCACTGAGCTACCCGGCATCAAGGGCAAAAGGTGAAACATACCATCGTGTTGTTTGTTCTCATTGTCGAAGAGAAAGCAGGCAAGCTCTCTGAAGAGACAAACTTTTCCGGACACTGAATTCTAGGAGTATTTGCCACTTGGATCCTTAATAGATGAGACTTTGGGGAGCCAAATGTTCAAAGAAAGTATTTTTTTTTATAATTCTTCCTCAGTATCTCTAAATCTCATCAAAGCCGAGGGGGATAGTGTTAAATTTTATTTTATTTTTTTACGTTTTTGTTGTTGTTGTTGTTGTTAATCCTCACCCGAGGATATTTTTCCATTGGTTTTTAGATAGAGTGGAAGGGAGGGAGAGAGAGAGAGAAAGAGAAGGAGAGAGAGAGAGAGAGAGAGAGAGAGATTGATTGCCTCCTGCATGACCTCAACCAGGGCTGGGGATCCAACCTGTAACCCAAGTATGTGCCCTTGACCGGGAATCGAACCCAAGACCCTTCAGTCCGTGAGCCAACGCTCTAACCGCTGAGCCAAATCAGCCAGTGCAAATTTCAAAGTAGTGAGGATACTATTGGTGTCTTAATAATACTTAACATTGTGGGGGATCCATTGGGATTTTCAGAATGCCTTCACTCAAACATTTGATTTTTGAGTCTCAGGACAGCAAAGGTGATATTGTCAAGGTGGTGAGGGTTAGTAAGAGTTTGGGGCTATCTCACTCTATCAGATGGGTTTCAGCAGTGCCTATGTCTGGGGTTGGCATTTCCTTCTGAAGAAACTGAATCTGCTGAAGTGGTTGGACGTGGCCCCGTCTGAAGTATGCCATGGAAGACCAACGTGGCTGGGAGGAACAGAAGTGATGGGGTTTCAGTCAGTGCCGCCAGAATCCCGGCAGAGTGAGTGGCATCCTTCCTGGCTGCCCAAAATGAATGAGCTGCTGGTAGCTATCTATGGGGACTTAAAGAATAGACCTACTGCAAGGAGTTGTTTCCACGGCCCATCGGAACTTGGGGGCATTGCTGCCAAGTGCTGCACTATTAGGATCGATCTCATTTATACCAAGCTGGTGAAATAATTAGCCAACACTCAGTGGCTGCTTTTCTCCTCACCCCACCCCCATTACCAAAGTGCTTTCTCACTGTGGAAAATATGAAAATACATGAAAGGTTGGAAGGAAAATAAGAGGGAGGGCGGGAAGGGCCATGCACAATCCAACCATGCATTTTCTTCTGACCTTTTAAAATGCCGTTTCCTTTATATAATTGATACCCTACATTAAGATGTATGATTTTATATCCTGCTTTTTTTGCTTCACATCATGTTGTGAACCTTTACCTAGAAAGTCTTTGAAACTAATATTTTAAATATTTTTTTCATCAGTTAGGTTATTTTCCAATATTCACTGATGCAAAGAATAATTTAGCAGAAGTCTTGGTTCGTTATCTTTGTCTACATTTTGGACATTTATTTTCCTCCTTAAGAAAGATTTTTAGAAATAGAATTATATGACCAAAGGTATGAACATTTTAAAGACTTTATCTTTCTCTGTTTATGGACACGTGGCTTTCTGGAAAGGTCGTACAAGTTTATACTTTGCTCAGCATCAAATGAGAGTATCTGTCCTACCTCACCTTTAAACATTTCCTTATTCAAAAAGGTAAAATAGCAACATTTTAAAAAATTTATTTGTAATTCCATGGTGATTAGTGATAATGAATTTTATATATACATATATATATATGTTTGATGGGGAGGTAATTTGTATTTCTTCCTTTGTGAATTATCTACTTATTGAGCTTTGGGTGTTTTTAAAGAGATTTCTCTGACCTCTTAATATATATAAAGGAGATTAGCCCCTTGGCATATTTATTTCAAATTTTAACCAGTTTGTGATTTGCCATTGGATTTTTCCTTTTTGTAACAGCTTTATTGAGATATAATTTACATAACATACAATTTACCCATTTAGAGTGTATAATTCAATGATATTTTTTTGGTGTAGTCTCAGGCTTGTGCAGCTGATCTACTTTGTCTCTAAAATTTGCCTATTCTAGACATATCATATATTTGGAATCATATAATATGTGTTTTTTTTTGTGCGTCTGGCTTCTTTCACTCAGCATCATGTTTACAGTGTTCATCTATGTTGTAGCATGTATTGATATCTGATTCCTTTTTATGTCTGAATAATAAAATTCATCAGTTGACCAGGGTTGGGGACCGAACTGTAACTGAGGTGCAAGCCCTTGACTGAAACTGAACCCGAGATTCTTCAGTCTGTAGGCCTACCCTCCAATGGCTAAGCCATGCTGGCCAGGGCATGTACTGATTTTTAATGCTTGCTTTATCACATAATATGTTTTCACAAGAGTGAAGTGTGGTTTGTGGGCTATCTATTGTATTTAATTGCCCTATTTAATTTTTTTATTATTTTAACATAACATAGGACTACGCTTGATTGTTTATTTAAACTTTAGTAGGAGACATCATAACTATATAAATAGAATTTTCTTAGGTAGGAAAATTGAATATTATAAAGAAGAACATTGTTGCTGTGGCAATTTTAAAAAGCAATGCAGGGCCCGGCTGGTGTTGCTTAGTGGATTGAGCATCATCCCATGGACTGAGAGGTCCTGGTTCGATTCCCGGTCCGGGCACATGCCCGGGTTGTGGGCTTGATCCCCAGTAGGGGGTGTGCAGGAGGCAGACGAGCGATGTTTCTCTCTCACATCTCTCTCTGTCTCCCTTCCTCTCTCTCTAAAAAAAAAAAATCAATAAAAACATTTTTAAAATAATGCAAGGAGGGGTGTATAGCTTAATTTGAAAACCAAGGAAATTTTTTTCCATGATTATTGATATAGTCAGGTTTTCTGTATATTTTGAGACAATTTTGGTAATTTATATTTTTCTATAAAACTGATATTGACATTTTCAAAATACTTAGCATAGAGTTTTCACATCAGTGTGTTCCTAAAAATTCTTCATATCTGCCATTATCATCTTTTTCTCATTTGGCTTATTTATATTTTCTGTATTCTTTTATTAACTATATTTACTAGAACTTTGACTCTGGCCAGATGAATGGATCAGCAATTTGGAAGAAATGAAGAGATTTTTTTCTTTTTTGAAGCAGTGATAGACTGTACAGTGGGTCTATCCCAAGGAGATTATGCCTATATAATAAATTAGAATAGGTAATTGGCAAAAGAGTGTCTAAATAATTCTGGAGCAATGAGTTCTGGGCAGCTTTTTGCAGTTTTAAGTAACTGATTGAATGTTTTAAGTCAGTGGGGTTGTTTTGTCATCCAAGAAGAACCTCAGAAATGAAAAAAATGGGATGGTCAGGCATCTAATAATAAAAAATTGACCCTGCCTGGCTGGTGTGGCTCAGTGGTTGAGCATCGACACAGGCACCAAGAGTTCACCAGTTTGATTGCCAGTCAGGGCACATGCCCATTTTGTGGGCCCAGGCCCCAGTGCGGGGCATGCAGGAGGCTTCCAGTTAATGTTCTCTGTCATCGATGTTTCTTTCTATCTCTTTCTCCCTCTCCCTTCCTCTTTCTCTAAAAATCAGTAAAGAGAAAAATAAATAAATAAATCAACCCTGGCCAGTTTGACTCAGCAGTTGGAGTGTCGGCCTGTGGACCAGAGAGACCTGGGTTCGGTTTCCCCTAGGACCATGTGCCTTGGTTGCAGTTTGTCCCTGGCCCCAGTTGGGGTGTGTGGGTGGCAGCCCGTCGATGTCTCTCTCTCACATTAGTGTTTCTCTCTCTCTTCCTTGCTCTCTCTCTCCTGCTCTGTCTGAAGATGTCCTCGGGTGAGGATTAAAAAAAATGTCCTCGGGTGAGGATTAAAAAAAAGAAGAAGAAGAATATACATTATCCCTGATCTTTTGGACTCTTTCGTTCACAGGCCCCGTGGTGGGTGGGAGTTGCTTAGGTAGCGTTTTAAAAGTAACCGACCAAGCAGAGAAGGGTGTAGGAAAGGGCAGATCCAGCAGAGAAAAGAGCAGCCTTCAGTTAATTTGTCTTGGAGAGCAGGGAGCGGGGTGGGGGTGTGTGACTGCCGTTAGCCTTTGCGGGATATTAGCACCTAGTGAGGGAGCCAGAGGAAAGGAAAGGAAAGGAGAGACAGAGGAGAATGATGGCTCTGCTGCCTCCTGAAAAACAGTACCACCCTCCTTGGCACCCCAGGGTCCTTTGTCCCATCTCTTAGCACTAAATTCTGCCTGAACTCTGTTGCAAAATAAGATCAGAGATCTGGACTCACTTAGCCAGGCCTCCTGGAATAATGCACCTTGGGAGAAAACACAGAGGGGGAGGAGCATCAGGATTTCGTGCCTCAATGCCCATCACGCTCTTGGGGTGAGTAGACATCTGTCAACACAGATGTCAGGCTCTTGGACAGGAATGGGAAGCCTCAGCCCCTTCCTCAGCCTGAGCAGCTCTTGGGGGTCCTTGCTTAGGATCTTGCCCCTAGCTCTGCTCCCCCACCTCAACCTTCGAGACTGTGGGAGCACAGCCTCTGCTGGCATGAACTGGTGTCCAGGGTGCAAGCCTGTGGTCACAGCTTTCTGTGGGGACTTATCAGTGGCCTGATCCACCAGACAGCCCAGCATTCTAGCAGGACTGATCAGCATAAGCTCTCCAGGAAGCCGACTCCTTCCCTGGGTGGCCACCCTGTAGGGATCAGCCAAGCTAACCCTGTCCTCTCACCCAGCCACCCTTTGAGATTGTGGGCTCTCTGAAGGCAGGGTCGGTGTCTGATTCATCCTCATGGCCTCTCAGTGCTGGCATATTTGGCTGGCTCTGTCAGTGGTTTAGGAATGCCGACAGCAAGCCCAAGCAAAGGCCGATGAACCTTCCCTCTCCTCTTAACCATTCTTGATCATTTGTCTCTCTTTGAGGATCTGATTAAATCTTTGAATTGTCTCCAGAAAAGTATAGGCGCGTGCGCGTGCACACACACACACACACACACACACACACACACAATCTTGCACACAGGTAGCCTATCAATGAATGGACCCTGGCCAAGAGGCCCTGCCTTAGAGTTCTGGCAGGTTCCATTTACACCATTTATGTCATCTCATATGTACCATGACCCATCTACACACCCCTTGCTTACCGGCCCTGAATCTGTGTGTGCTCTAAAGTCACACCGATCTAAGATTTGTCGAGAATGATTGCTTTTCACCGTTGCTCTGGAGGAGTCCATTGGCTAGCGATGACCCCGAGGGATCATGGCTTCCTGGACAGCACAGGTTTTACTTGATGTTCCAAAGATGGCCTTTAAGTGGACAGTCCCCACCTCAGAAGACTTTCCTCACAACCACCAAAGCCAGCCTTGCAAGAAGCCCCAACGTAAAGCTTCCGGAAGCCTGTTGGTTGAGACTGGACTTGCCAGCTTCAGACAGCAGCCTGCCTCAGACTTTCCTCTCTCATCATCCTCTTGCTGTCACCCTACCTTGTGGCCTACATGGTGGTTGACTTTTCCCCATTAGGTCCTCTTTCATGATTTCCTGAGTCACTCCCTTCAGCTTGTATTTGTTTAACATTCAGAACCATTTCCTATTTGGTAATGTTTGGGGCTTTCATGATATGGAACATACTCGTGAGTTCTCCTTCCTTCTGTCCTATTCAATGGGGTTCTCTGTTCCACAGATTCTGGCTGTGACTCAGTCACCGACACCGAGGCTGAGGACGAGAAGGCCCTGCCCTACGCGAAGCAGCAGAGCCTGCCGCTGACAACTTCACCTGGGAACCTGATGGTGGTGCAGCCGGACCGCATTCGCTGTGGGGTAGGCACTCCTGGGGCTGGTGGACTGATGTCCGAGCGTGGCTTTCAGGCTTCTCAGTAGGTTCATTTGCTGGAGTAAAGGAAGCGGGGTTCTTCCGTTGTGCCTCAGTGTAATCCCAGCCTTCCTGTGGGGTTTTTCCTGTACAGTAGCCGCCCTGGGAGCCCCAGTATGTGGGCCTTGGGCACACCTCACTCCTTTAAGTCAAAGATAGATGAGCCCAGGAATGTATGTACCATCGATCTAAGGCTTTTAGTTCGTGGATCCAAAACTTAGAACACATGGGAGACCAGCAGACGTGAGCATTTCCACTCGTGCCGCTGTGGAGTTAGGGGCCTGTTCCTGCCAGCATCCGCCTAGTGCGGGACAGAGGGGCGTGTGGCACTTTGAGAGCTTGCTGTCCGTCTACTGGCCACTGGCATGGCTCAAAGGAGTGCCGTGGGGCTTGATGGCTTACACTTGCTGGCCAATACTACTTGCTAAAGGGATAATATTGATGCCATATCATTTTCAGGGGTGGGACATACGTGACAGGTGACTGGCATGTGAGGACCACTGATGGGCCACTGGCATTTGAATTCTACTGTAGTGTTGATAGTTTCTCATGATCTTTCCTTTCCTGATGAACAGTGTGTGGTATTAGTTCAGAACAGCAAAGTGCTTCCCTGCGGGTACAAGCCTTGTGCTGAGTTTGCCGCCGTGGCCCCCGGAGACAAGAGGGCGGGGGAGCGGTGGCAGTGCGACGTGCCAGAGTTCTAGAGCTGGTGAGCGGCTTTCCTCGCAGTCTGAGGTCACAAGGCAAACGGCTGCTTTGGGCTGGATGGAACCCAAACATGTTGGTTTGAGACTGCTCGGTATTTTAAAAGTTAGGCGTGAAAATCGGATTCTTTGAATCAGACCCTGGTAATACCAGGCCTGAAATGACTAGCCGGGCCAGGCAGCCCTTTCGAAGGCGATGCGTGTCCCTGTTCGCTCAGTACTCCTCCCTGCCTCTCGTCCTGAGGTCAGGCTGGTGGGTGCCTGTCTGTGGGGGTTGGAACTAAAGAACGATGCCCTTCACATGCCTCCCTGATTCTCTAGGCTTTCGTTCCTTCCCCCAACCTGGCTCCCTGCCCCAGGATACTCCTTGTTACCTGCTCTAGATCTTTGGGTCCTGGGGCAGCTGGGCTGGGGTTGGGTCCTGACTGTCAGTGGAGGAGACACACTGGTTCTGTCTGGCTCCCCAGTCTCCCTAGGAGGAGGAGAGGTGGGGCAGGGCTGGGCCTGCAGCAGAAGCACAAACACATTCACACTCAGCCTCAGCAGCCAGGACCACACCCCTCCTTCACCTGTTGTGAAATCATGGTCCTTGTCATGAAGGGAACTATGAGAACTCTATAGCAAAACCTTAGGATGAACATTTGGGGATTAGCTTTGGCCAGAAGTATCGCGTTGTCATGTTTTTGGGAGGCCTGCCCTTACCAGTTCAGGGTCTAGCAGGACCATTGCCCATCACAGTAGAACAAGATAATTCCATTTGGCAGGCTCAGCAAGAGAGTTTAAAGCAAGGCAAGTAGTTATTCAGGTTGCTCAGTGCCTTTGGAAAATGAATCCTCCAGCAAGTTATTTTTGTTCTTCAAGAAGAGCGTCCATTTGCAGAACAAGAGGGCTTCTCTCGGCTGGTGCCTCTCACACGGTGAGGTGCCTGCATCACGTTGGTCAACTGCAGACTCTGGTTCAGTGGGTCCAGGTAGGGCCTGAGCATCTGCATTTCCAACAAGCTTCCAGCTGTAGCTGCTGGTCCCTTAGCCTCACTTTGGGTAGCAAGATGAATCTAGAACGGTGCTTCTCCAACTATCCGTGGTGAAGAACATTTTAAAATTTTGTTTCTGAATTTTCAGTTCTGCCATGGATCAATGCTTGTATCAAATACAATAAAAAAGAAACATTATAAAAATAAAATCATAAGCCATGTAAGCCTCAGGTTTTAAAATTGTTACTATAAGACTACTCCATCAAATTATTATAAAGGTTTATAAATGTTTACTCTCAGTTTTTGTAACTGGTATCATTGGTCCCGCAGCAAACCGTGGCTGCCCAGCCCTGGACTGCAGACCTGCGCTGTTCTAGAGCAGCCTCCCTAGATAAGGCTGGGGCTAAGGGAGCCAGGAGACTCTGGCTCAGCCACCCTAGCAGGGGACCTAGGAGGGAGAGGGGATGATGACTGGTGTCCCGTTCCAGGCAGAAACCACTGTCTACGTCATTGTGAGATGTAAGTTGGATGAGAGAGTAACGACGGAAGCAGAATTTTCTCCAGAGGATTCTCCCTCAATCAGGGTGGAAGCCAAGCTGGAGAATGAGTACACCGTTTCCGTGAAGGCTCCTGGTAAGTAGCCCGTTGTCCCTCCAGAGATTAGGCATCATGTCAGGGAAGAGGCCCCCTCTTGCTGTCTTTTACTTGTTCTGTCTTTATTCAGCAGCTGAGCAAAGATTTGGATTTGGTTGTCATGTTCTATTTAAAGGAAAAGGAAAGACAGAAACACTTTTTTTTTCCTGTTACAGAAGTAATGTGTGTTCAATACAGAAAACTTAAAGAATAGAGTAACCATAAAGGAAAGAAAGTAGAAAATTACCCATATGTCCACCCAAAGGGAAATCACTGGTTTCTGTATTTTTCCACATCTGTGTACATGGCTTCATACTGTCTCATAGCCCACTCTCATCACCTAGAAAATACCTTTGAGTGTTTCCCCACATTAATATTCTTTTACAACAAGATGCTTAATGGTTGCAATGTAATCCATTGTACAGGTGCGCCATAATTTATACAACCAGTTCCTTGTGTTGGACTTGTTTCTTATAACCATAATTTTTAAAGCTGCATGATACTCAGTTGAAAAGAAGTCTCATCTTTTAATTTTTCATTTCCTCATTGTTGCATATTTATGTAATTGCTGATTTCTTATTGTCTTTCTGTTTTAAATTATCGTATGTTAAGCATCCTTATGCTAGCAGGTGTGTGTGTGTGTGTGTGTGTGTTTTTCCTTTTTGTATTTAGGATTATTTCCTCCAGTTGGAAGCCCTGAAACAATAGGTTTTTTTTTTTAATCCTCACCAGAGGACATTTTTCCATTGTTTTTGTTCAGATAGAGCGGGAGGGAGAGAGAGGAAGAGAGAGAGAAACATCAGTGTGAAAGGGACACATCGAGTGGCTGCCACCCGCACAACCTAACTAGGCCCGGGGACAAACTGCAACTGAGGCACGTGCCCTTAGCGGGAACCGAACCCGGGTCTCTCTGGACGTCAGGCCGACGCTCTAACCGCTGAGCCAAACCGGCCAGGGCAACAATAGGTATTTTTAAGGATCCTGGAAAATAGTGCTTTCTGAAAAATTGCTACTATCAACTTTATGTTGCTATACCATCACCAACACTAGGTGTTAATCATTTTAAATATTTTTTCTAATTTGAGGTGTTTTTTTTTTTAAAGTAGCCCATTGTTTTAATTTGCATTTCTTTGATTACTAGTGAGATTGAATATTTTTCCGTGTTCTCTACTCGTCGCGTTTCCTCTTTTGTGAATCGAATCTTTGTGGTCAGGGTATTTTTAATTTTTCTTTCCCCTCAAAACCCCTTCCTGTGGCGCAGAAGAGAGCTCATAGTAATGCCAGCAGTGCAGTGAATCAATTCTATTGGCCAGATGTGGCGAAAATAAGGAGTTCCACCTGCCAGGATCCTTCTCCCCTTCCGGCAACCGCTGGCCTTTGTATAAAGTGCATTAAATTCAACTCTTCTTTCTGTTCATTGTGACACTGGGCCTATAGTACTGAACAAAACATGAAAATCATTCAAAAATTACATTTCAGGTCCAGTGAGAATAATTCCTCTGACTCAGAGCCCTGCCACGTGCTAGTCTGCTCATCTTCGGCTTCTGCCCCTTCCCTCACCTCCCTGTCCCCAGCTCACCTCCAAGATCTTTCTTCCAGCCCCTAGTTAATTTCTTCACCATTAAGATGAGTCCATAAACACTTTTCCCGGGACACTTGTTCTTCTCGGGCTCTTCTAATTTATCTTTTCTTCTGTTCAGACCTTTCATCTGGGAATGTTTCTCTGAAGATATATTCCGGGGATTTAGTGGTCTGCGAAGCTGTCATCAGCTACTACACTGACATGGAAGAAATCGGGACTCTGTTGTCCAATGCCGCGAATCCTGTGGAATTCATGTGTCAGGTAAGGATGTTGAAAGGAAACCTGAGTTTTCTGGACAGGTAATGTCTGTGCATGGTTTATTCGCCTCAGGTCTTCTGGGTGGGAGGTAGCTTGATTTAAAATCGGATTGTCTTCACTTTTTTATTCAGGCCTTTAAAATTGTGCCCTACAACACGGAGACCCTCGATAAACTGCTCACAGAGTCCTTGAAGAACAACATCCCAGCAAGTGGACTGCACCTCTTTGGCGTCAGCCAGCTGGAAGAAGAAGATATGATGACAAGTAAGTCAATAGTCAAACCTCAGGAAACTGTCCATGGGCGATTCCAGTTTGCTGGTTCAGCATCCACTCACCCCATTCGTCATTCATTCCTCATTGGCTAGCCGGAGATTCTTCTGCATCATAAATCTGAATACCTCAGCCCCTTACTAAAAACCCTAAAGTCCAGACTCCTTAGCCTGTTTGCAGACTTCTTCCCAAGGGCCCCTGCTGCGTTTCTGCTCCCATCTCTCCACTCTCTCCCTTGGCTTCTGTGCTCTGCTCTCCAGAAGATGAACTCCTTTCCCCCAACTAAAGTTCCGCCCTGCCTCTTGCCACCCTGACTCCTGCGAACACTGTTCTTCCTGCCCTTCTTGGTTACCATGTACCTGGCCAACCTCTCTTTGCCTCCCTGTAGCAGCTTAGGTTGCACTTTCTCGGGAAGATCTTCTCGAACCTTCGGTGTTCCATCTACATGCTGCGGCCCCCCTAGCATGTAGGGTTGCCACTGCCCTGGCGCTCCTCAGCTGTGCCTGTCTTCTTGGCTAGCTCAGTGAGGGCTGGGACTGTGCTTCAGTGGCACACTGTAGGCTCAAAACAAGTGTTTGTTTGATGGGGGAGGAGCAGTCTCGTGTGCACATGTGACATGGCTTCAGCTGGGAGAACCACTTGCGTGGGGATGGTGCCTGGCACGTGGCATAGGACGCCTGTTATGGTGGACATCACTCTTCCTTCATGCCACAGTTACACTGCACGGTGGGACCCGCATCCTGGTTGCCCTCTGCTGTGTCCCCCCTTCCACAGCTAAGAGAACCACAGTATGCGCTCATATTACCTTCACGTCCTTCTCCCGGGGGCAGTCTCCTGCTGTGGAATGTTCTTGCATCCCTCCCAGCGGGTTTAATATTCTCTATTCTTAAACTTGGGGCTCAGAAAAGAGTATGCCATAGCCTGGCAATGTGGGATCCTGGGGACATTTTCTGACCCTTCATCCCAAGGATCATATCCTAGTGAACAGGAAGATAGGCTTGTCTTATTTAAAAAACATGTTTGTGTGTGTGTACATGAAACATATATATGTATTTATAGATACATCTATGTATCTATCTTTATATAAATATATTACTGTTGGGCTTAGAAATCATATTTAATGAAAACAAGACAAATATTTTTCCTTCAACTCTCCAAGAAACATGTCTGTTTTCTTGGTCGAATTTAACTTGCTGTATCAAGGTGTTAGTAGGTAGAGGGGGTCATGGGGATCCAGTGACTCTCAGCGGTGCTTGGTTTCTCACGAATCAGGTTAACATACATCCTAGGGTTCACATGCATTAGTACAAACATTCAAAACCTGTTTTAAACAAGGAACTTACTGAATACCATCATATTAATCCTCTCAGCTCTCTTTAAGTTTGTCTGGAATACTTTCTGGTTCAAAACTAAGGTGTAGGGAAGGACTAAGCCATATACTCAGAATTTCTTGACATACTTTATGAAATTAGGAATAAGAGCTATGAAGATGGACTTCTTTTCTTTCAATCAGCACAAAACAATTGCTTTAAAGTACCCTGAAATTTGCAGAGAAGGTCAAAGCATGATTCCTGCTGTACTTTGTGGCTGCTATGTAAGCCTTTAGAAAATCAGCACATTTTGCATCAGTATCATTTCTCAGGATTCTCCGATCCTTTTAGAGAAAGAAGGTAGGATATTAATTATTAGATTTGCTAAGTAATTAACATATAATTTCTTTGTCATCCGAGGGCGTAATCTTCAGTGATGCCTTGAAGGAAGTTGTCAGATGTTAGGTTAGTCAACCAAGAAGTAATGATCGAGTGCCTGCTGGCTGCCCTACTAGGCACGCTGGCTTCATTTCCCAGGGCAAGGGTGCCCTCTGCCTTCATTGCTCTCTGTCCATTAAGTTTCCTTGACGTTATTTCAGATCAGAGGGATGAAGAGCTGCCCACCTTATTGCATTTTGCTGCAAAATACGGACTGAAGAACCTCACTGCCCTGCTGCTCACCTGCCCAGGAGCTCTGCAAGCATACAGTGTGGCCAACAAGCACGGCCACTACCCCAACACCATTGCCGAGAAGCACGGCTTCAGGGACCTGCGGCAGTTCATCGATGAGTATGTGGTAAGGTCCCGGCAGGAGAGGCCCCAGGAATGGGAATGCACTGTGTAGTGCTAGGGCTGCCTTTTCACCAGAGGCGTGGTCAGAGTTAATCTCTAGCGCGTCCTTGTGTGCCTCTTCTGGTGGGGACAGTCTGTGCGGGCTTAAGAACTGGAGTCACGTCGCCTGGGTCCTAGTTCCCATACCACCACTTGTCAGACACATGACTTTGGGGAAATCATGTGTCCTCTCTCTCTCAGTTTCCTAATATGCAGAAGGAAGATAATAATAGCTCTACCATAAGGTATTTTTGAGGATAAAAGGATATGTAGGTAAAGCACTGAGGTCCACCTTTAAAGAATTTAAAAAGATGTTTATGGAATGAATCTGCTGAAGGTTTGATGCTAATTCCTCTTCCGCAGTCACCTCCCCACCCACTTCCAAGGCACCTTGGTGGGATGCTCCCAGCTGCCTCACCCATCAGGCCCAGGGGAACTGTGTTAGGACTGGTTCCTTCCTTAGCAGAGAACCTTATAAAGCTCTGCACCTGAGGTTTCAGGGAGCCCAGCTGTGAGGTCCCACCTTCTGCTGACAGCCTGTTTCTTTCTGAGCCTCTACCTGTCTTACGGCAGATATATCTGCTCATCTGGTTTTGGACCCTCGGGTCCTACTTCATCATGACTTCTGGGTCCTTCTGTGAGTGTAGCCTCACCCCTCGGCTAGTCTATATTTCATGCCCCAGTATCGCTTTCATTGTCTTGGAGGCGGCTGCTCTTCCTGGCTGTACCCTTTTCTGGTTTTCCTCCATCTTCACGATTCACAGTGGGGACGTGGGACTCTCGAATGGGGCTGTGACCCCGAAAGGAACATTAAGTGCAATCCTGTCTTGTTCTCTACCTCCAGACAGGAGTAAGCCTGACACTGCCTCAGAAACTGAACTCTCTGTCCGTATTTGACAGAACAGAGTCACCATTGCATGGACAGGGGTCTTACCAGAGTTTGTGGGTGATTACGTATGCTGAATGAATAGGAGAATCTAAGTGCCTGTGCTGGGCATCACTGACATCAGTGAGGCTAACGGTGCTCACATTCTTGGAGTATTTACTCAGCTTTACTTTGAAGTCAAAGTTGTATAAATGTAGTGTTTCATTTCCATGCCAATACTTTTTATTAAGGACAATACTGTGTTCATAGTAATCACTACTTTCTATTGAATTTATTTGATTAGCAAATGCATGATCTCATTGAATCCTCACCACAATCCTTTGAAGTTGACACTATTATTATCTCTAACAATTGAGGAAAAGGGCCTAGAAAGGCACAGTAACTGTGCCTAGAGTCACATAGGGTAGAGATAGGATTTGAACCTAGTTTGCTGCTGGAGCGGGGGCTCGCTGTCCTACTTGCTGTGTGTACCAGGGAGGTTTAAAGAGGGACTTCCAGCTTGCATTGAAGTCACCTGGCCCCCACGTCTCATGTCATCTCTGTTCTCTGACTGTAATTCCCTTCAACTAATGCGTCTGTAGCGCTGCTCCCAAAAGGTTGTCCCTGAATGTTGGTTATGGCCTCTAAGAACTGTACCACTTCCTCTTTCTACCACATCAAACATAAAGCCAGACCTCGGGTCTCCCACACTCCACAGCTGCACCGGGTCCACTCCTTGGGTCTCATCAGGAAACCAGCTCAGAGTGTCGGTAACAGATCAGCTCTCGTGGGGCAGGGATGATGAAAGTGAATGTTTCTGGGGGTGCGGCTGAAATAAGGATTGAGAAACACCGGAGTTTCTTACCAGAAAAAGTACAGGGGTTTCGAGAAGCCAGCTCTCTGGCTTCATAGTCCCTTGGAGATGGAGTGACAGGGAGCCAGCCTGACTTTGGGGCACTTAATTCAAGGCCATGTCTCCTCCTGGGCACACAGGATATACACTGAGGGGGCACTTTGGAGCAACCTGCTGGCAGGAGCGGGGACTAGTGAGCGAGGTTCCTGAGGGACCTCTGACAACACAGACGTGCAGGAATATGTTAGCTACCGCCTCGCTTATCACATTTGAGTTTCCATGTGGCTGCTCAGTAAGGGCCACACCCTCATGTGCCATTTGTACCCATTAGAGGAATCACTACGGTTCAGTGGAAAGGTCAGCAGCCGGGATTGCAGGCCCTTGGTAAGGTAAAGCACTGGATTTTTCCGAGCTGTGGTTTTCTCGTCTGTGAACCAGGGAATATCGTATCTTTCTCAGGCAGTGGTGGACCCAATGGCACGTAATGTCTAGTCAAATACCGAGCATCAAGCATCATACCTGACACATAAGAGATGCTCATGAGAAAGGTGTATATTTTTATCATCTAGTCATTGGACATTTAACAAGTGTCTCCTGCTTAGGTGAGTCTGTGCTTAGTGCTGAGGGAAGAAACAAAAATTAAAACAAGAAACAGCCCCCCAAAACAGATTTGGAGCCTGGCTTCAAGGGGCTTCCAGCAGGGTGGGAAGTAGGTGTCCACACACAGTGGCCACCCTGACTCGTGTGAACCTTTGCTCAAGCCCACTTGGGGTGCCTCAGTGTGCCTGAAAGAACCACGCTCTCTTTCAGGAAACTGTGGACATGCTGAAGAGTCACATCAAAGAGGAACTGATGCAAGGGGAGGAGGCTGACGATGTGTATGAGTCCATGGCCCACCTTTCCACAGACCTGCTCATGAAGTGCTCCCTCAACCCGGGCTGTGACGAGGAGCTGTACGAGTCCATGGCTGCCTTCGTCCCGGATGCCTCCGAAGACCTCTGTAAGTAGCACAGCCCAGTTCTGCTTCCACGTTTCTGCTGACAGACAGCTTTCTTCGTTCTGGTGTGTGGGGGGTGGGAGGGGCAGTCCCTGCTTACTGACACCTCATCCCAGGGAGAGGAAGATCCTGTTTTATACAAAGTTAGAGCTGTCATCAGGTGCTGAGACAAGCAGAATCCCTCTCCAAACTTCCTCCGCTGTGAGACTGGAGGGTAAAGCAAGGGCCTGGGAGTCCGAGCTGATGAGGGCATTGCCTTGCGACCTAAGAAGCTGAGTCAGCGGCTTTCAATCCCTTCAGTCCCCACAGGCCCTTTTTATAGCAAACAATTTACAGTGAGTACACCCTTTACTACCCTGACACGAGCTTCATATAGAATGTAACCGACCTACATATGAAGTTTTTAGAAATCACATATACACTCTAATTGAAACATGAAACAGAATTATAAATATAAAATAGAGCTAATATAAAAAAGGAGAGGATTCAAACAAGTGCTGACGAGGGTGTGGAGAAAAGGGGACCCTGGTACACTGCTGGTGGGAATGCAGACTGGTGCAGCCACTGTGGAAAACTCAATGGTGTTACCTCAAAAAGTTAAAAATTGAACTGCCATTTGACCCAGTGATCCCCCTTCTAGGAATATACCCTAAGAAGCCTGAAACACCAATCAGAAAGAATATATGCACTCCCATGTTCGTAGCAGCACTATTTACAATAGCTAAGATCTGGAAACAGCCCAAGTGTCCATCAATAGATGAGTGGATAAGAAAGCTGTGGTACATATACACAATGGAGTACTATGCAACTATAAGAAAGAAAGATGTCTTATCCTTTGAGATGACATAGAGGAACCTGGAAAGTATTATCCTAAGCAAAACAAGTCAAGCAGAGAAAGACAAATATCACATGATCTCACTTATTTCTGGAATATAATGAACTAAACAAACTAATGAACAAAATAGACCCAAAGTCATAGAAGTAGGATACAGAATGACAATCCTCAGAAGAGGGGATGGGGAGGGAGGGAAAAGATAAACCACAAAGAACTTATGTGCATGTATGCATAACCGGTGGACATAGACAACAAAGCTGGGGATGGGGCGGGGGGGAGGATGGGGAGGAGGGTGTCAGTGGGGGAAAAAGGAGAAATATCTGTAACAAAAATAAATAAGAAATTTAAAAAAAAGAAACTAACTAACTAACTAAATAAATAAATAAAATTAAAAAGGAGAGGAAATCCTCAGGCGTGCCTGCACAGGAGGACGTGATGCAGTGGTCAGATACAGACCAGTGCTCAGAATACCACCAGTGTGAGGGCTCCCAGGCTGGCCGACACATGTCTGTTGTAGCAGGGACTCAGGTACCACCAGCATCGTTGACATCAGAGCCTGAATTTTCCTAAATGGTGAAAGGTTCTTCACACTCTCCTCTCCATTTTCATAATAATTGAACTCCTAGAAAATCCAGTGCATGTCGAAACCATGCAAAAATAGAAGTTGTATTTATATACCAAGTACTTTGGTTTCAGAGCTCAGAAAATGATAAGCAGGGTTTTTTTAAATGGTAACTTGGTTTTATTGGATTAATATAATAAACTTATTTTCATGTCTCTAGACATGATTTTTCTTGTAAATTGCTTAACAAAATTTGCCCCTTTTTGGTTATATTGTTTTCTTCCAATAATAAAGGTAATACAGTCTTACAAAAACTTGAAACAAAATAGAAATATAGCCTGGCCGGTGTGGCTTAGTGGTTGAGTCCTGTGGACTGAGAGGTTATGGCACATGCCCAGGTTGTGGGCTCAATCCTCAGTGGGGGGCATGCAGGAGGCAGCTGATTGATGTTTCTCTCTCACATGGATATTTCTGTTTCTCTCTCCCTTCCTTTCTCTCTAAAAAAAAAATCAATAAAGACATATTTTTTAAAAAATTATAAAAACAAAATAGAAATATTGAACTGAATTATTAAAAGTCCATATGACTCCACCCACCAACCAATATAACATTCGTAATAGTTTGGTAGATATATCTGTCCATCTTTTTCCTTGTGCCTTCTAATATTAAATAAAAAATATACACACATACATATGCACAGATACGTGCACACACACACATATGTATAAATATGTATCATAGGCAGTTTTTTTTAACCTATCTGAATGTCTGGGGAAATATCTAAAAGCCACAAGGGACATAAAACATCCTATGCAGGGCTGTCCTGCACATTGCAGAGTCTCTAGTATCTTTCTCCCTTTTTCTGCTAAAGGTCAGTAGTGTCCCTCTATCACCATGACAACTCAAAACACTCTCATAGATTTTCCAAACTCCCTCTAGAGGGCAGTGCCGCTCCCCTTGAGAGCCCCTGGTCTAGGTAATGTTGATTCCAGTGTACACACCAGGGTTGAAGCAGGAGGACCATGCCACTGGCCCTCTAGAAGCCTTCTTTTTTTGTTAATCCTCACCTGAGGATATTTTTTCCATTGATTTTTTTTTTTTTTTTTTTTTTTAAGAGAGAGCAGAAGGGAGGGAAGGCAGAGGGGGGAGAGAGAGAGAGACCCATCAATGTGAGAGAGACACATTGATTGGTTGCCTCCTGCATGTGCCCCATCTGGGGCTGGAGATAGAACCTGCAACCCAGGTACATGACCATGAATTGAACCCATGATTCCGTGGGTCACAGACTGTTGCTGTAATTACTGAGTCACACCGTCCATGGGTCTAAGAGCCTTCTTAATATGTTACCATCATTTGCTATAATGCTAAGCACTCCAAAACACTGCCTAAGACTTAGCTCTCCTTCCCTTTGGTCTATCTAATAGATTCAAGAAAGATAAGACAAAATACCTATCAACATATCAGCTTTATTGATGAATGGGCTAGATTGAGCATTGCCAGTTTGCAGCCCGAGAAAAAGACACTAGGCCCTGGGCCCACAGGGAGGTGGGCTTGGTTTTCCCATCCATGAACAGAAAAGCAGGCACCAAGATAGTGCCTTGGAACAGGAGGTGCAGGCAGGGAAGGTGGCTAGAGGCAGATCATGACACTAGCAGTGCCCTGCCAACCGAGTACCTGCAAGTTGCAGTCCGGCGGTTATTGGGTACTTGCCAGTCAGAGTGGCTGCTCCTCTGAGGAAAGGGGGAGAAAGAGGGGACGAGTGGAAGAAGCTGCCTTCCAGCACTTAACTGCGAGGACTGGCGGGCACTCTCCCCGAAAGAGCTGTGACCTGGCAGGGAGGCGAAGAGGCTATTATCCCCGTCCAAGTCCTCCATGTCACCAAATCCTTTTTTTTTTTTTTTAATTTTATTTTTGTTACAGATGTTTCTCCTTTTTTCCCCATTGACACCCTCCTCCCCATCCCCTCCACCCCGTCCCCGGCTTTGTTGTCCGTGTCCAGTGGTTATGCGTACATGCATATAAGTTCTGTGGTTTATCTCTTCCCTCCCCCCCGCCCCCTTCTGAGGGTTGTCAGTCTGTACCCTACTTCCACGTCTCTGGGTCTACTCTGTTCCTCAGACTGTTATGTTCATTATATTCCACAAATAAGTGAGATCATGTGGTATTTGTCTTTTTCTGTTTGACTTGTTTTGCTTAGGATAATACTTTCCAGGTCCCTCCATGTCGTCTCAAAGGCTAAGAGATCTTTCTTTCTTACAGCTGCATAGTACTCCATTGTGTCACCAAATCCTTAAAGCAACTGTACAAGGATGCTTTTACTTACCTATATTTTACAAATGAGAAAACTGACACAGAATGGTTACACAGCTTTCCCGAGGTCTTACAGTTAATAGGTGATAGAGCCAGATTTGAACCCAGGTCTGTCTGTCTTTAGGACTATTTTTAATTCTGTGCCAGAAATCTCCATCTAACGCCACAGATTTATTCCTGGTTTCTTTTAGAAAAACTATTGAGGGGCTGCAGCCCTGCTTCCACTTTCTGCAGCCCAGACATTAGCTTGCATAACCTCTGGCGCCCCCTGCCCCGCACGTCCATCCATCTCCATCTACCCAACAAGCATTTCTGGAGCATCTATGTTTCAGCTACTTGCTTCTCCTGGTATGGGGAAGGCAACGGGTCCCAAGACACAGTTCTTTCCAGTATGGGACAGATACCCCTTCACAAATGAACATTTGGGAACAAGTGCTGCCCACCTGGGAAGCAAGAGACCATACATCCTCATCCGCGCTGTGTCCGTACTGTGAGGCACTCAAACAATGAAAGAATCCCCCCTTTGCTGGCAGTTCATTGTGGACAGAGCCTTAAGGCCTGTTATCCCCTGGGTGCTCCACCATGTGAAATTCCCCACTATGTGAGTGGGAAGCTGCAGGGAATGTGAAGGGCAGCCTCCCATTACTCCTCATGGCGGGAAGAGAGCCCCTCCAGCACTTCCCCCGGTGGCAGAGTGCCATGGAGCTGGCCTGGTTTGTGACCAGTCGGCCACTTGTAAAGTTACCTAGGGTGAGGGCGATTCTGGTTGTCAGGGAACTAGAAGGAGGCCACTGATGGGCAGGCTGTAGAATTTGGCAACGTTGGGGACAGGGACAGGAAACCACTGCATTTTTAATTTGCCTGATCATATAAACTCTGGGTTTTCTGATTCTTGACATGATTTGGTTTGTGTTCTGTCTCTGTGGTTTAATTTTGAGATTGACCTCTCACCCACTGACCCAGAAGAAGCAGCAACTTGTACCTGGAGAGAGAAAGCATTCATACTACTACCAGTGACTCTCTAGGGGAGAAGGTGGTTTAGTTCATACATAAGGACAAGCTGATAAATCTGAGATCCGTATTTTCAACATGACCCAACACATTAATATCTCAAAACATCTGCCAACTGTCAAGTCAACAGACGGTTTTTATCTCTGTCTTCTCACCTGACTGTCCTTGTGCTTGATAGAATTATCTTCATTTGATGGGGAGAAAATGAAGTCTCCAAGATGTAGTGACTTACTTAAGTCCCATTGAGGGAGAACTGGCTGAGGAATCTCGGTCTGCAGAGTCCCA